CTCAACACAATTAATATCAACAATGGGGAAGGAATGAAAGCCAAAATAGGGAAAGAACAGGTTAAAAATATTTAGATAAATTAGATATATTCAAGTCAGGAGGGCCTGATGACATTCAACCTAGGAGACTTACGGAACTAGCTGAAGCAACCTCTGAACCATTAGTGATATCTTTGAGAGCTCACGGGGCTCCCAGAAGACTGGGGAAGGGAAAATATCACACCTATCTTTAGAGGAAACAAAGAGGACCCAGAAATTATAGACCTGTCAATCTAACTTCAATTCCTGGAAAGATACTGGAACAAATTATTAAACAATCAATTTGTAAGCAACTAGAGAATAATAGGATTATAAGAAGTAGCAAGCATGGACTTGTCAAGGACAAATCATGGCAAATCAACCTAACTTCCTTTTTTGACAGGGTTACTGGCCTAGTGGGTGGGGGGAAGAAACAGACATGATATATATCTTGGTTTCATTAAGGCTTTTGACACAGTCCCACATGACATTCTCATAAGCAAACTAGGGAAATGTGGTCTAGATGAAAATATAAGGTGGATGTACAACTAGTTGAAAGACCGTACTCAAAGAGTAGTTATCAATGGTTTACTGTCAAACTGGGAGGGTGTTATCTACTGGACTTCCACAGAGGTCTTTCCTGGGTCTGGCACTATTCAATATTTTCATTAATAACCTCGATAAGGGAGTGGAGGGTATGCTTATAAAATTTGCACATGACACCAAGCTGGAAGGGTCTGCAAGCACTTTGGAGGTCATGATCAGAATTCAAAACAACTCTGATAAATTGGAGAATTGGTCTGAAATCAGCAAGATGAAATCCAATAAAAACAAATGCACAATTCTTCACTTAGGAAGGAAAAATCAAATGCACAACTACAAAATGGGGCATAACTGGCTAGGCGATAGTACTGTTGAAAAGGATTTGGGGGTAATGGTGGATCAGAGATTGAATATGAGTCAAGGATGTGATGCAATTATGAAAAAGGACAACATTCTGGGTTGTAGTAACAAATATGTTGTATGTAAGATATCCTGCTTTGCTCAGCACTAGTGAGGCCTCCGCTGGAGTACTGTGTCCAGTTCTGGGCGCCACACTTTAGGAAAGATGTGGACAAATGGGAGAGAGTCCAGAGAAGAGCAACAAAAATGATAAAAGGCTTGGAAAACCTGACCTCTGAGGAAAGAATAAAAAAAAGTGGACATGTGTAGTCTTGAGAAAAGAAGACTGAGGGGGAGACCTGATAACAGTCTTCAAATATGTTAAGGGCTGTTATAAAAAGGATGGTGATTGACTGTTTTCCATGTCAACTGAAAAGTAGGACAAGAAGTAATCGGCTTAATCCGAAGAAAGGGAGATTTAGGTTAGAAGGTGGGAAAAGCTTTCTAACTCTAAGGACAGTTTAGCTTTGGAGTAGACTTGCAAGGGAGGTTATGGAATCCCCATCATTGGATGTTTTTAAGAACAGGTTGGACAAACACCTGTCAGGGATGGTCTAGGTTTACTGAGTCCTGCCTCAGTGCAGGGAGCTGCACTTGATGACTTCTTGAGGTCCTTTCCAGCCCTACATTTCTATGAGTCTATGATTACTATTATTTATTATTTGTATTGCAATAGTGTCTGGGAGCCCCAGTCTGGACCAATCCCCCCTTGTGGCAGGTGCTGTACAAACACAGAATGAAAAGACAGTCCCTGCTCCAAAGAGCTTAAATCTAAGTAATGTATTGAGGAACACCTTGCTGCCCTAAGGAGCCATTTGTACCCTCAATTTACATATGCTGCTGACTACAGCATATGTACCAGCTACCTGCAGGGCTGAATATAGCCTAGCACTAGACCATGAAAACCCCTCATAACCAGCAGGCCCTGCTCGCTTGAGACTTTAGGGCCTCATCCTGCAAGGTTCTTAGCACCCTCAACCTCTACTGACTTCAGTGGGAGTTAAAGATTCTCAGCACCTTACAGGATTGGGACCTCAGTGAGGCTCCAGTGTGGTAGCTAGATGTCGGCAGCAGGCGTAGTGGCATCTCTCCCGCCTGGAAGCTGGGGACAGGCATGATCTGCTGTGTTATTGGCAGTATCTTTACCTACTGCAGGGGAGAGCAGACACACATTGGTAACTCTGTTCTCCTGCAGGGAAGGGGGAATGCATCTACTGTGGCATTTCTAATTCCCAACCCTCCAGGAGGGATAGTGGGGGTCAGCAGGGACATTTCTATTTCCTTTCTTCCTTGCCCTCCGCAAGGAGGAACAGGAAGCAGCATTTCTTTGACACCCATCAATTCCTCTCCTCTGTCCCCTAAATACAAGAAGTCACAGGGCTCAAGAAAAAGATCCTAAAACTCTGACTCCAACAATAAATTGAGTATTCTAACAGCAGGGTCTGGAACAGTTCAGTTCTTTATGCAGCAATGACCATCTTTGTGGTGCCCTCTATGAAATGAGCCAATGGTCTCAGTTGTGTTCCTAGCGGGCAAGTGCCGGCATCACAGTTTACCAGCTGTTATTGGATGCTCCCAGTGCATCTTGTCTTCCAAGTGCTCGGTAGCTCTTTTCTCTTAACATTCGTCCCAGGAGTTAGCTAGGGCATGATGGTAAGACTTACTGGATGCTAACTGCTATGATTGCCTTTTTAAATTTTTTCCAAGATTGGTAACACATTTGCTTTTTCTTTAATTGAAGAGTTTTGCTCCCATATACTGGTGCAAGGATGGCTTTGTATTTTGTCCTTTCTGCCTGTACACTGTGTGTTATCTGTGTTTTGGATGCAAGCCAGTTAAAAATGTATGGTTACACTTTTCTATTACATATTAAGCATACAGAAATTACAGTCAGCTGTGTTCATTTTGTGGCTGACTTATTTTCTCCCCAAAGCACTGGGCATACTACATTCAGCACTTAATTATTCATGGACTATTAGCATTACAGTTTCCTGATTCAGATCAGGACCTCTTCTCCTACTCGGCAGCTTGGCAACCTATTTTTGTCTGAGTATGATTCTCTGTGACTTTCTGTTTAATTTTCAGCATCCATGCTTTTTCTTTATATTCGAGTTAGTTGTGCCTTCTGTTATTAAAAGCCTCAGGCTTGTGGTGTATGATGTGTTATGATTTATTTCCTTTTACTGAAATGCTGTGAAATCTAATACGAAAACCCACTACATACAATTTAAATATGTAACATTACATTAAAAGCAGGTGTTGCCAGCAGTAATATATTATTTTCACATTATCGTTTGTATTATTGCAATGTCATTTTATAATTATGATTGACTATTTAAACAGTTTAATTAAACTCTACTTGCAAATGGTGTATTCAGTTTGGGCCTATTGCTGCAAAACTGAAGTCAATAGTAGCTTTGCCATTGACTTCCATGGATTCAAGATCAACCATTTGAAGAAAGGGCTTCTTCCATGCCAGAATCCATCTTTCCTCTGAATTCAGTAATTAGAGCTAAATTTTCAGACAATAGAGGCTGACTTCAGCAAAGGTAAAAATATGGGTGCATCTGTATTTGTACATGCAAATAAGTGATTATACATGCAAATAACTGCTTGCATATGCAATTACTTGATTTGTATGCAAAAATATGGGGTAAACATTTTTCCATAGCCAAGTCAACTTTCACTTTTGGAAAATGTAAACTTTAGTGAAGAAAAAGGAAACATACCAGAACAATATAGCTAACACATGACTCATTTTATAAACTGCATGCTTAGTGCCCATGATTAATACAAGGTAAAACAGTGTCATTAAGACTCTTAAGAGAACTTTGGTCAAGGCCTGTCCAATATCATAACATAAAAACAACATAAATATTGAATAACCTAAATTGAATAACTACTGAAGCAATAAAAGTTGTAGCTGCTATGTATTATACTTCATGGGTTACAGTCAGAAGCCAAATGTTGCATCCAAAATTACATGTACAATCGTGCACCTAATTTGTTCATGCGGTTATTATGACTGCACATGCATACTAGGCATTTATGAAAATAAATGGCCAGCTAGATGTTATTGTGCAGGCAAGCCCCCAGTTTGCATACATAAATGCAGTACCTTTGTATCGAAATCATGGATACAACTGCCTGAAAAAAATTGTGTCTTGCATGCCTCCCAGCCTTTAGAGCTGGGCAGCTGGAGAGCAGTGGCTGCTGGCCAGGAGCCCAGCTCTGAAGGCAGAGTAGCCGCCCCAGCAGCAGCCCAGAAGTAAGGATGGCATGGTATGGTATTGCCACCCTTACTTCTGCTCTGCTGCCTGCAGAGCTGGGCCCTCAGTCAGCAGCGAACACTCTCTGGCCGCTCAGCTCTGAAGACAGCAGCGCAGAAAAAAGGATGGCATGGTATGGTATTGCAACCCTTGCTTTTGCACTGCTGCTGGCTAGGGGTGCTGCCTTCAGAGCTGGTGCCTGGCCAACAGCCACCACTCTCCGGCCACCCAGCTCTGAAGGCAGCACAGAAGTAAGGGTGGCAATACTGCAGCCCCCCTAAAATAACCTTGTGACCCCCCTGCAACTCCCTTTTGGATCAGAATCCCCAATTTGAGAAATGCTGGTCTCCTCTGTGAAATCTGGATAAAAGCACACGAAAGACCAGATTTCACAAAGGGAGAGCAGATTTCACGGTCCGTGGTGCAATTTTTTATTGCTGTGAATTTGGTAGGGCCCTATGTATAAGTGGAATATTATTGTATAATGTATTAATTTGTATTCCACATCAGAGTACTTTCATGTAAATTATGAAATTATATTAGAAAATGCACCGGAATATTGGTTCATGTGACTTGGAACTATAGAGTATGTATGTTTTTGAAAAATTAACACTGATGCCAGCTTCTGAATTCTAGTTTTTGATTTAAGCTGTTCAGGGGCTTTGTCAATATTAAGAAACTTGCATTTGCCAAACACAGAAGCTGGAAAATGTAAATAGTCTCTGAATCAAAGTCTAAGTCCAATATATAATAAGTAATAAAGGAACATACCACAGTACCCTGGAGTTCCACAAACTGTCTTCATGGTCACTTGATCTTCCACAATCTTGGAAAGCCCAAAATCAGCTGTCAAGATTTGTAGAAACATAAAATAAAAGTTTTATTGTCTGCTTGTAACTGTGTAAAGTGAGCATAGATTCAACAGGGAGAAGTACTTCACTTTTCTTTTTGAAAACACTACATTTAAGAAAAATCACTGTCATTTTAAGGAACAAATTAAAAGAAAAATTACTTCAAAAGAATTGCATGGAAACAAAATTATACAGAAGCAAAATTTGTGTTGATGGATTAAATCCTCTTGCTCTAAACTCACCAAAATATTTTTAAAGTACAACTTGTGCTAGCTTCCCTAAAGACAATGGAACATACAGTAGTCAGCAAGGAAGAGTCAGATGCAGAGTCAATCATGTACTCAGAACTTCTGATCGGAGCATGAAATACAAAATACTATGAATACAAAATAAATAAATAGAACAGAGAAGATGTTTAAAAACTGAAGAAGGTATATTTTATAAAATAGAGCACTATCCAAGTCACACAAATGAGAGTCATTCTTGTCAGTTGCCAGCTTGTGCAGATCAAGGAGTGACTGGTTCACATTCTTTTCCAGGTGCAAGGCACACTCCATTCCTGTCAACCCATTCTCCCAATCATCACGATCTGGTTTCTTGACGTCCTGCAAAAAGATGTGACCAACCCTCTAGTTCTGTAGAGTATTGTAGAGTATTTTCAAGAAAATAGGGCCTTCGTTCTGATGATGTACTTAGTCCACTGGTTCCTTTGGAAGATAAATTATTTTCCAAATGGATGATTTTGTACTGTTAGAGAAATGTGTGTCTTTCAGTTCTGAAACACATCACCCAGCTACTGGCAGGTCAGAAATTCTAATTACCCAATTTGCCTGTAAAACAGAAGAACAGTAACTTTTTTCTGAGATCACTCCAAAAACACTGTTCCTGGTAGTGCTCTTTCTAGGAGTGACCCTGGATACATTGGGTTGAAGAGCTACCACTTTGGACTTTGACTTTTTCAGATCTTATCAACTAAGTGGGAAGTGGTGTGAGGTTTGATCCTACAAGGAACTGAACCTTTGAGCTACAATCCAGAAAAGCATTGAAGCAAGTGCTTAACTTTAAGCATGTGAGTTATCCCATTGTTTTAAATAGAACTACTGGTGTACTCAAAGTTACACCTCTGCTTAAGTGACTTGCTAGATCAGAGCCAGAGCCCTGAGCACCTTGGATCAAGCCTTTGGGTAGTATTTCAATAGCAGATTTCCAAGGAAAACCTAGGCTTTGCCAGAAGGGGGTGTCAGCAACTCTGCATGTGGCACCCTTCCCTCTGAATAAATACTGAGCAGTCAGGAGCAGCACGTTGTCATAGATGGCACTTGCATGTCCCATCTTTCAAATGAGATTAGAACTGAAGACCTAACCAATTGTATTTCTTTTCCTATGAATGATCTTAGTATCTTTGTCATCATCCAAACTGGAATTTGAACATCTGTCTTAAAAACTGCAGAATATAGTTTGTTGGTTTGCTTTTGTTTAACATGAATTTAAGTGTGAGTACTCTGAGCTGAGAACAAGAAGATAACAGTTGATATTGTGTTTTGAAAATGCAGATTTAGTATAGACTCATAAAATATCAGGGTTGGAAGGGACCTCTGGAGGTCATCTAGTCCAACCCCCTGCTCAAAGCAGGACCAATCCCCAACTAAATCATTCCAGCCAGGGCTTTGTCAAGCCTGACCTTAAAAACTTCTAAGGAAGGAGATTCCACCACCTCCCTAGGTAACGCATTCCAGTGTTTCACCACCCTCCTAGTGAAAAAGTTTTTCCTAATATCCAGCCTAAACCTCCCCCACTGCAACTTGAGACCATTATTCCTCGTTCTGTCATCTGCTACTACTGAGAATAGTCTAGATCCATCCTCTTTGGAACCCCCTTTCAGATAGCTGAAAGCAGCTATTAAATCCCCCTTCATTCTTCTCTTCCTCAGACTAAACAATCCCAGTTCCCTCAGCCTCTCCTCATCAGTCATGTGTTCCAGTCCCCTAATCATTTTTGTTGACCTCTGCTGGACTCTTTCCAATTTTTCCACATCCTTCTTGTAGTGTGGGGCCCAAAACTGGACACAGTACTCCAGATGAGGCCTCACCAATGTCGAATAGAGGGGAACGGTCACGTCCCTCAATCTGCTGGCAATGCCCCTACTTATACAACCCAAAATGCCATTGGCTTTCTTGGCAACAAGGGCACACTGTTGACTCATATCCAGCTTCTCGTCTACTGTAATCCCTAGGTCCTTTTCTGCAGAACTGCTGCCTAGCCATTTGGTCCCTAGTCTGTAGCGGTGCATGGGATTCTTCCGTCCTAAGTGCAGGACTCTGCACTTGTCCTTGTCGAACCTCATCAGATTTCTTTTGGCCCAATCCTCTAATTTGTCTAGGTCCCTCTATATCCTATCCCTACCCTCCAGCATATCTACCTCTCCTCCCAGTTTAGTGTCATCTGCAAACTTGCTGAGGGTGCAATCCACACCATCCTCCAGATCATTAATGAAGATATTGAACAAAACCGGCCCCAGGACCTTGGGGGCACTCCAGTTGATACCGGCTGCCAACTAGACATGGAACCATTGATCACTACCTGTTGAGCCCGACAATCTAACCAGCTTTCTATCCACCTTATCGTCCATTCATCCAGCCCATACTTCTTTAACTTGCTGGCAAGAATACTGTGGGACACAGTGTCAAAAGCTTTGCTAAAATCAAGGAACAACACGTCCACTGCTTTCCCTTCATCCACAGAGCCAGTTATCTCATCATAGAAGGCAATTAGATTAGTCAGGCATGAGTTGCCCTTGGTGAATCCATGCTGACTGTTCCTGATCACTTTCCTCTCCTCTAAGTGCTTCAGAATTGATTCCTTGAGGACATGCTCCGTGATTTTTCCAGGGACTGAGGTGAGGCTGACTGGCCTGTAGTTCCCAGGATCCTCCTTCTTCCGTTTTTAAAAGATGGGCACTACATTAGCCTTTTTCCAGCCGTCCGGGACCTCCCCCGATCGCCATGAGTTTTCAAAGATAATGGCCAATGGCTCTGCAATCACATCTGCCAACTCCTTTAGCACTCTCGGAATCAGCGCATCCGGCCCCATGGACTTGTGCTCGTCCAGCTTTTCTAAATCGTCCCGAACCACTTCTTTCTCCACAGAGGGCTGGTCACCTCCTCCCCATGCTGTGCTGCCCAGTGCAGTAGTCTGGGAGCTGACCTTGTTCGTGAAGACAGAGGCAAAAAAAGCATTGAGTACATTAGCTTTTTCTACATCGTCTGTCACTAGGTTGCCTCCCTCATTCAGTAAGAGGCCCACACTTTCCTTGACTGTCTTCTTGTTACTAACTTACCTGAAGAAACCCTTCTTGTTACTCTTAACATCTCTTGCTAGCTTAAACTCCAGGTGTGATTTGGCCTTCCTGATTTCACTCCTGCATGGCCGAGCAATATTTTTATACTCTTCCCTGGTCATTTGTCCAATCGTCCACTTCTTGTACTTCTTTTTTGTTTCTAAGATCAGCAAGGATTTCACCGTTAAGCCAAGCTGGTTGCCTGCCACATTTACTATTCTTTCTACACATCGGGATGGTTTGTCCCTGTAACCTCAATAAGGATTCTTTAAAATACAGCCAGCTCTCCTGGACTCCTTTCCCCCTCATGTTATTCTCCCAGGGGATCCTGCCCATCAGTTCCCTGAGGTTGCCAAAGTCTGCTTTTCTGAAGTCCAGGATCCATATTCTGCTGCTCTCCTTTCTTCCCTGTGTCAGGATCCTGAACTCAACCATCTCATGGTCCCTGCCTCCCAGGTTCCCATCCACTTTTGCTTCCCCTACTAATTCTTCCCGGTTTGTGAGCAGCAGGTCAAGAAGAGCTCTGCCCCTAGTTGGTTCCTCCAGCACTTGCACCAGGAAATTGTCCCCTACACTTTCCAAAAACTTGATTGTCTGTGCACCGCTGTATTGCTCTCCCAGCAGATATCAGGGTGATTGAAGTCTGCCATGAGAACCAGGGCCTGCGATCTAGTAACTTCCGTTAGTTGCCGGAAGAAAGCCTCGTCCACCTCATTCCCCTGGTCCGGGGGTCTAGTAGATATTGTGGGCTGTACAAGAGCAGTGGCCAATTAGCCACTTGGCCAATGGGGCCCATGCTCAGGGGCCCCGGCCAATTGGGGCCTCCCGGAAAAATGGGCATCCCCATTCCCCTGGCACATTTGCTAGGGGGCGGGGTAGGGGCGCAGGGGCTTGCCCCATTCCTTTTGCCAGCCTGGCGCTTCTGCTGGGGAGTGGGGGAAGCCCCAGTGCCCCAATCCCCCTCCCTGGCAGGAGCGCTGGGCAGGCAAGGTGGGGCAAACGCCTCCGCCCCAACCCCGCTCCCTGGCAGGAGCGCCATGGGAGACTGCAGGTGAAAAGGGTGAGGAGGAGCCCCCACTTGCTCTGACCCAGGGTCCCACAGAACCCTAATCTGCCTCTGCCTGCCTGGGACTCTGAGAACATATTTGGTTTTCTAGCCCATGCGGAAGCCTATGTCACTGCGTCTTCACTTTTGGGAAGAGATGTCTCCTTATAAAAGAGAGGGCTCAGAGATCCTTTTTCTTTTCTTTACAATATGTACAAGTCAGATCTCTTTCAGTTATCACATCAGCAATGCCACAGCCTACATGGCTCATCAATTAGCATTCTGCTACTTTCTCCTTTACCATAGTATAGCACTGGCCTGCCATAAACTGGCACACAAACTGTAGATTCCCAACATAGAAGTGGTGAATATTCATATCTCAGAGGCTTAGGGTCTGACTTTCAAAGGTGCTGAGCACCCAGAGCTCCTACTGACTCCAGCTGCAGTTGCAAGTGCTCGGCGCTGCTGAAAATCAGGCCCTCAGTAAATGCCCTCTACGCCCTGGTTTGTGACAAACTCTGCCAATTCAGGTCAGCTTGTAGCTTATCTGGTTTCTTCCCACCCTTTTTCATACTGCCACCTATGCGTGGAATAACTTCTCTAATCTGTGCCATACAACCTACCTCTCCTCCTTCAAGTTCCTCAAAACTCACTCCTTTTGGCTTGCTTTCATCGCTTACCTCCACCTTTGCACTCTCATTCATATTTGTCCCAAAATTGTAATATATTGTCTAACAAAAAAGGAACTAACAAGTGGTGTATGTAGCTAGAGTCTGATCTCATAATCTTTTCCTGCTGTGATCTTCACCCTCCCAAATCCCATTCTTCCTGTGTTTGTCATCTCTTGAGGTATTTCGCCTAATTTAGACTGTAAACTCCTCAGGGCAGGGATCTGTCTTTTATTTATTTTTGAAGGACAGTGCACAGCTGTGCTGCTGTATAAAGAATGGACCTGTTCATCTGGATATCATTGCTAAAATAGAATACAATAATGGGGAGAAGAGAGGAGACACATGTGAACCACACAAAATAATACCAGTACAAGGGAAGGACGGGACGTGTATAGGTAGTGCTGCTCACCTATTTTTAATGGTGCATCTGGCGCTGGTGTTGCATACAGGAGATTCTCTGGCTTCAGATCACGGTGAACAATCCCATTTGCATGCAGGTACTAGAAGAGAAAAATCAAAGTGTCTAAGTCATAGTACGAAAGAAGCTTTTTCCTAATCTCTATAGTTACAGTCTACTGACTAATATTTCATGACAAGAGACAACCCAATTAACCAGATTTGAAAAAATTGTTTACAAAACTTCTCAGCATGAGACACTTGAATACAGTTTGTCATCTGAACAAGAAACTGAAAACTAAAACAGAGAGAGCATCAGCTCTCATGGTTGAGAAGGAAAACCATCCCTGAGGGGCTTATTGACCATTTAAAATACAATGATAACATCTCTAGGGGTTAATGTTAAGATAATAGATGCTGAGATATTGAAATCTGAAGCATCAGAAAAGCATTAGGCAGCTTTGTATGTTAAATCATTCTAAGAGGTCAGAACTTGGTCACCCAACTACTGAACCACACATAAACTTTGATGAGAACAAGCATAGTGGAGAACTTAGCATGTGCAGTGCTTTAAAAATAAAATCTTTACTTTCTACAGCAGACTGATGGATTATAATACTCTACAGTCCTGAAGCCTTGGTTTCACATGCTCATGGCTTTCTCAAAAGCTGTCATGGTTTTGGGTTGAAAATGTCAAGGCTTCATCTTATCCCATTTTTCTGAGTGGAAAATTTGGGCAAAATCAGTTCAGCTCTTTTTTAGTTGTCCGAGTGTGGAATCATAGATCTCTTGTTACAAGTTAGTAACAAATTTTATTTCTATTGATGAAAAAAAAAAAGCCTCTGTCTTCTTCAGCACAAAGACACTGGGCAGCCAGATTCACACCTTCAGGAAGGAGGCCACTAGCTTCCTCTCTTCCAGAGCTACTTTGCTCCAAGCAGCTCTGCTCTTTAAGGTTCTGCAACGCATGTAGTTGCCTTCCTTCCCTCCTTATGATCTGGGCCAACTGTCACATACAGATTGAGTTCCTGGCATACAACCAGTATACCCAGGGCCTTCTGAGCTTATGCCCTGATTGCAAAATCAGTCCCTTACTTGGTAAATACCCTGGGCCTGACTGTCCTCTTGTTTACACCATTTTTTTTGGGGGGAAGGGGGGGCGGGTTTGGTTTTTTTTTTTACTAGTGAAACTCCAGTAACTTCAACTAGGGTAAGTGAAAGGAGCATCTAAGCCCCAATATTTTCAATATGTAGTACAATGGTTATTTGTACTTGTAGGCTACTTGATAGTTACACTCAGGCCTTGTCTACATGTGAAAATTGTACCAATTTAACTAACTTTGTTTTGAAACTGATTTTGTTAAATCGGTGCAGTCACCTTATGTGCGCACTCATTTCAGTTTAAGGCGATAGTGATTTGGCTTCAGTTGATTCCTCACTGATTTAGTTTAATCAGTACAATTTTTTTGTAGAAACAATGCCTTGGTACTGTAGGTCCAAAGTTAATTATCATGAAAGCTGTGCTTTGAATTAAAAGACAGAAACAATTATATACACATTGTAATTACCATGCACAGCAAACACCGTACCCCTACCTTCTATTTACTAACTATGACATTTAATGGTCAACAGTTACCATGAAAATAAAGAGACCAGGGGGAGGATCATTGTCCAGTGGATAAGTCACAAGCCTGGTCTGTTCCAGGCTCTCCCAGGAACTCACTTTGTGACCTTGGACTCCATGATTCACCTCAGTTTCCTCATCTCTAAAACAGGGATGATATTTGTGTAATAGGGTTTTAGGTCTGTGAATGAAAACTGCTGAGAGTATATGGTACTATATGATAGTTTATAATTACATTTGCTCTCTATAAGACAAAGAGATATTCAGCTATTAACCAAATAGTCTTGCTTGCACTTTCTTCTAATTTTCAGTAAATGGTTCTAGAATGTAAAAGACGGTTGTTCACTGTTTGCAGCTTCATTAATCTGTGTTACCACCATAAACTGTTAAGTAGAAAATTTGTATTTACCTCACAGCATTGTATTTCCATAGCAACATTACTTTGATATATTCAGATTCAGTAAAGTCCTGTAGCATCTGTGTACTAAAGTACGTGATTTACTTGTCAAGTAACAGTAATTAGTCTCTTCAGAGGTGCGTTACAATAAACAAGAACAGGATGAATTACTAATGTAACAATTGAAAAGGAGAAACACAAAAAGAACAATGCAAGATCATGAAAAGGGCATAATTTCAGTGAAAAGGTCTTTTTGAGCATACATATGGATTTACACTGTATTGAAATTATGCTGATAATCATTCTTACAAACGAAAGTCAGACAAAACTTAATCTACTAGCATTTAAGGTGAGTGGGTAGAAGGGAATTTGAAATGAGTTGTTTGTGGTTTAAAAAACTCCCAATCCACAAGTGTGAGAGTGCAGATCAGGTATTTTGCACCCAGCTAACCACTTTCATGAGCAAATGTGGGCTGTGTATGGAAACCAGTGGGCCTGGCAGACTTTTGTAGGTTCGTAAAAAGTTTGATCTTTAGGATATGTCTACGCTGCAATTAAAAACCCGGGGTGACCTGTGCCAGCTGACTTGGCTAAGGGGCTGTTTAATTGCCATGCAGACATTCGGGCTTGGGTTGCAGCCACAACTCTAGGACCTTGCAAGATGGGAGGGTCCCAGACCTCCGGAGCCCAGAAGTCTATGCTACAATTAAACAGCCCTGCAGTCTGAGCCCCATGAGCCTGAGTCAGCTGGCATTGGCCAGCCACGGGTGTCTAATCGCAGTGTAGACATACCTTGAATGTTTCATTCAGAAACTTTTAGAACTGGGCAATCTGGAATCAGCCCTGTTTGGGGGAATACTACAGGGCACTGTCTAATTCAAGTTTTATTTGACTTGGTATAACAATCTAAATACAAATTATTTACTGAGTATTTTTGTTTTGTCTAGTCATATCCAAACAACTCCCCGTTGCAGTGCTTGCAACTCCACATTGCATCATTGTTACAGTGACCAGACTTTCGGCGGGGGGGGGGTGGCGGGAAGCTGGGACACCTGACATGAGCAGGGAGGTGGGTGTGCAAAGGATGACTTTGTGGCGTTTCGAGGTTTCATGCATAGTATGGTGAGAGAGAAGAATGAGCCCTCCCTGCCTCCCCAGCTCTTTTCTCAGTCAAGCAATCTTCCTCTTTCCCTGCTACCTGATGGACTTGACTGAAGGGGAGGTGATGGCTTGGCTTGATGAGATTTGTATGAAAGAGAGGTCACTGGAAGGCCTCAGGGAAGAGGTAAAGTAAGATATCAACATGAGTCAGACCTAGAGGTTCTTCATGTACATGCTCAGTCAATTTCACCAGTTCAAGTGGCCAGTAACACTTTCAGTTGGGCCAGGGTTTGCAGGGGGTTACAAGACTTGAAAAATGCACCATTTTAAAAACCAAACATTTACAACAGAGCCTATACATGGGGACATTCCTGCTTATTAGGAACACAGACGCCCAAATAGTACACAAGAACCAGAAAGAAAAGCAAACAAAAAAACACAGAGAAATTAACTAGAAACAAAAGTGACTATTTTAATTGTCTAAGCTGATTGAAATGCCCATAAATGCATAAATGGTGAAAATAATATATTCGTGTGATGGGGTACACTACCAACCCCACACTGAAAGGGTTAATGAGACTCTGTGGGCACAATCAGCCAAACCCTACTACCCCTGTAGTCAGTGTTGAACCTGAAGAGAGGAGGCCTGGCTCAGTCTCCACACAGAATAATGACCACACAGAGTTGTTTATTTTTGTAAAGCCATTGGGCAGGAACGGTCTTCCTATGCCTGTACAATGCCCAGCACACCTAAGCACTACTGAATAAAAAAAAATCATATTGATGATGATAAATAGTCTTTGCCCATTGGATCAACCCTGGGGGAGCAGAATCCTCTTCTTTAGCAGGTGAAGAAGCACTAGTGCAACTACTCAGTGGCCACCTTAATTGCCTGTCAGCTGTGGAAACATCAGTTGTGACACACCTTTCCCCTCCAAATAAAGGAATTTTAGCCATGAGTCTACATAGCTACAGACCCATTGGCTTTGCTCTGTCTACTCTCCCAGCCCTGGCCTGCTCCCAGCCCTTATGTGCACTGCTACAGAATGTACTGCCTCAGAGAACTAGTCTGTGGCGCACAGGGCAGTCCCTTGCATTGCCTCTTCAAAGTCTATCTACCCACCACATAACAGAACGGCATTTGTTCGCTAGCCCAAGTGCGGTTGGATTTACGCCACGGGGTGTTGAGCAAACTTCAGGAACCCAGGAGGGTACTGCAGTATAAGTTTGATATAATCTCAGAAGATCTGGGGTAAATATATTTTAGGATTCAGAGCGTCAAATGGATTATTGTTGGTTGTTAAACTCTGATATGCTCAGCACTGTACAAGACACAAATAAAGTCAGACCCTTACCCCGTCTACTCTATATAATGCAGATAGGCTTTCTCCTAGTTTTTAATTCATGCAACACACAGTACCAACTTATGATTGGCACATGCCCATGTCTCCTTAGAGGTGACATGAAAAGAAAATACCATTGATTTTCTGCCCCACTCCCCATTTTTTTGCTTCTTTATGAGACCTGACAGCTTCTTTTATACCTCAAAAATTCAAGTTTCATCTAGCCTGAAAGATCTGATGACTAGATGACTAGTGAAATTATGACAACATCACAAGAATCATGAGTCTGAAAGATGAGGAACTGTTAAGAGCAAGGATACTCTGGTTTTGCTTATTTGTATTGGCACCTAATTCACTTTAATGTCTAACAAACAATGTAGAGAAAGACTGTTTTGGTTGAACACTCAATACTCCTGCACCTACAGCTGGTGACAACTCCCAGTAGGCATTGATTTAGCTGTGGGAAGAAGTGGGTGACATTGGGCTTCAATGTAAGCTTTTATATGATGCTATGTGCCAATGCTTCAGAGTATTTTTGTATAGAATATATATACATATATATAGTCTTGTAATACCTGTATGCCACTTTAGTGAGTATTTAATTCACTCAGAGAAGTTAAAAGGGAGAAGTTTTTATAG